CAATCAAAAGTGCAGGATTACGAGCCTGCCGTGGAAGGAAAAGCAATTAGAGTTTCAGGCTTATGAGCCTTCTAGTTCGGAACACAAATAATCATGGTTAAGGAAAAAAATAGCCCCCTGAGCTGCCCAATATATAATTAGCACCTTGTTTTTATTAAAATATAAAATCAATCATAATACTCTACTCAGAACACAAATGGTTAATTTTACTGCTTTGAGTGGATTTTACAAGCTTCAGCTCATCATGGAAAAACAGTGAGATAAAGTCCAAAAACTCCAAAGCATAAACCATGGCTAGGATATGCTATTTTACAACTTATACAAAGAGATAAATATAATAAACAATTAAAAATTAATACACAGCCCCCCAAATTCAAAAGACCTTATTGCAAGCATCTGACAAAATATTTCTATTATTAAAATATTAAAAATATTTCTATTTCTATTATTCCTAGTGAAATAACCCGAATTCTTGAAATGGGTGTTCTCACTTATTTCCTTTTACCTAGAATTCAATCCTTCTCCATGTTAGCAAATTTTAAAGTGAGCCTGATTAAAAACGGCACACTTAGAGGGGGATTCTTTGTTAAGAAAGTTGTAAAACCAAAGAATGGTTGTATAAATGCCAGTGTGCTTGTGAGATCGTAGGTATGAGAGTTGGTGGGTCTGCATTGCTTTTGTTTGAACTCAGAAACTTTCTAAAGCAAATCTAGGTGTGTTAGGCAGAGAAGCAAATGTCACTGTTTTTACCTAATATATCAACTAAAGAATTTTTGCATTTTCATTTTATCTTTCACAACAGCCTTTGTACTTAACTTGTCTTTCATGCCTTGTGTCACTAGCTTCTACCACATCCTGTTTGGTTCTTGGAATTTTTTTTTTTCTATTTCTTAGCATGGTCTGAGCTCTACTGAGAGCTTCTTTATTCCGTTGTATAGTTGCAAAAGGGTTATCAGATCTGGGAGATAAAATTCAGGTGAACAATAGATGGCAGCAACCATTGATGGTTCCTGCCCATCCTACTAGATCTGACAAGATGGGAATACTCTGGATTCCAGAGTGAAGTAGTGTTGCCCGGTGGGGTGTCATAAGCATGCCTTCACTGTCATGATGGAACAGTCTCCCCTGGCAATACAGAGCCCTGACACTGTTGGCCTTTGGGAAAGCAGTGAAGATCTGGCTCCTCCCCTCCAGGCACTGTGAAGATCTGGCTCCTCCCCTTCCCCAAGGCACTGTGGAGATTTCACACAGCCCCAGCACTGTGCCCATAATGTTGGTAGAGCTGGCATTGAGTGTTAGTGGATGGCCTCAATGTTGTTTATTCTTTTAAATTCTTGCTTTATTGTATTGTGTTTTTATACTGTTCACCACCCAGAGAAAAAGAAAGAAGAAAGACAGGAAAAAAGGAAGGGAGGGAGGGAGGGATGGAAGGAAAGAAGGAAGGAAGGAAGGATAGAAAAAAAGGAAGGAGGAGAGAGATAGAATAAGAGAGAGAGAAAGAGATAAAAAAAGAAAGAACAGAAAGAAAAAACTGAGATAAAGACAGAGATAGAGAAAAAGAAAGGAAGAGAGTGAAAAAGAAATAAGTAGATAGAAAGAGAAAGGAAGGAATGAAGAAAGGAAAAGAAAGAAAGATAAAAAAGAAAGAAGGAAAGAGAGAGAGAAAGAGAGAGAGAGA